TTTGGTAAACTGTTCCATATTTGAGAACCTGAATATGTAAATGATTCTTTAAAAAGTTTTGTTTTTGGTTTCGAAAGATTTAATAGTTTTTCATAAGCTGAACGTAAATTATAATTCTGATTACCAATAAAATGAAAGTTTTCTTGTAAATAGTTAGGAACCATATCATTTAATGATTTAAATACAAGTATTGCCTTTTGATATTGAATGCGTTTTTCCACATTTAACCAGTTTAAACTATTAACCGAAGTACATGCACACGTCAGATAATTGATTGTTATGTAAGAACATAGAATTTTTATAATATCAAAGACAAATCATTCTATTCAGATCTACTTACACTAATTTCTTTAAATTTGCTTTTTACTTTATAAGTAAAAAGTAAAATCACAAAAATACTGAACTCCGAGGAAAATTCAATCGGAAAGTCCCTAATCACATGGCAAAATCAAATGACAAAACACATCAAACGAATGGACAACAACTGTAATATTCCTGACTTGGTACAGGCATTTTCAACTGTAGAAAATGGTGGATTGAACCTGGTTTTATAGCGCTAAACCTCTCACTTGTACGACAGTCTTATCAAATTCCGTTATATTTACAACGATGCGTGAACAAAACAGACATTATAAATAAAATAGTCAAAATATGGGTACAGCAGTCATCACTGTGTTACAATATCAAAACAAACAATTATTTACAAAAAAGAACAAAAGCATCTATCAAATTAAAAACCATATTCATTGCTTCGCGTGTCTGACGTCAGAAAATGTAAACGTCACATAAGAAGAAATTTTGTCATTCAATGTTTATTCAAAACAATTTTATAATTTCACTTGTGGAATGTTGGTGTACAGGGTTAAGAAATCAAAAGTTATGTTAGAATTAATTTCAGAAATAGACCGAGATTTAAAATTGTCCAGAAGTTCTTTAGAATTTTTAAGAATCCACATATGGTTAATACCACTACGGGAGTAAAATAAATTTGTCGTTTGTCGTTCAAAGTATTTTCAAATTTATAATAGAACAATAACATAATGTCTTTTAAAATAAATAAATAAAATAAATAATCTTTATTTCAAGAGGATATTCCCATTAGTTAAAACTAATCTTCCTGAGAGTAAGTTTAGTAAGCTAGACAAAAGATTTAAGATTAGCCAATAAACGAAAATGGTGTCACCGACCACGTTTTCGATTTAAAACGCCATCTTTTTCATGGAATTTTTGGACTTGTGGCTACTATAGTAGTGTAATATTTTGTTTAAAAAAATCCATATTACATAAAAATTGTTTGTTTTATTAACCTTGTTGTTAGAAGAAATAACATAATTGATACTATCATCTACTGAGGGACAAATGGTGACGACAAGTTGCTATATTATAATTTTCCATCCTTTTTATTGTGTAATATAAAAGAAAATCGACCAATGTTTTCTAGATGAGAAGTCAATATAATATGCATTCGTTGCTATGAAACGATAAAGGAAATATAAACGCAGATTTTTTTATAACGTTTAGAAGTTTTCCATTTGAGTTCAAAAAGGAAAAACTAATATAAAATAGAAGATGTGGTATGATTGCCCATGAGACAACTCTCCACAAGAGACCAAATGACACAGAAATTAACAACTATAGGTCACCGTACGGCTTTCAACAATGAGACAATTAACGCATTCAAAGGAATGAAACAAAAAGACTGAAAAAGGTCAATCATCTAATTTGTCCAAAAACCTTTGTGCATGTAAAACTTGAACTAAAGTATGAACAACCCATAAAAAGGCTACACTTGATAGCAGCTGCTCCGGAAGGTAAGTGAAGCAGTAAATCTCATATAATTCCGAAAAAACCCATATGTAAAACATAACTGTTATTGCTGTTATGTCTTTACACTCAACATGTAGGTAACGTATATATTTTGTCATTTTAACATCGTTATCATTCTTTGATACTTACAAGAAATGGAAATATTGATACATTTGTAGTATTCAGCTAGGTGTATGTGTGACACGTCTGACAAGATATTCAGTTATGTGTATGTGCGGACACTTCTGATTATATAATTGGCTAGCCTGTATAACAAGACAATATATAGTAGACAAGAAACATAAAAAAAGAGAAAAAGTGTCATCTGTAGAGATCTAAAAACCAAAAACACACTTTGCGACTCTCGAAGACAAAACAAAACAAAGTTAAAGTCTGATTACTTTTGAGCAGTACTGTACTGTTCGTTGGCTGATATAATTCCAACATTTCTGCCATGCGAATAATCAATTTTGATAACAAGACAAGTATTAATTTGAATGCATATGCATACATACTATCATGAAAATACACATAAACACTTTATTGTTATTTTCATTTCCAAAAGCTTCTTATAATCAAGGTAAACAGACCATTCAATATCTATCGGTAACTATTTTAGATATAGGTAATGGCGAATACCATCAAAGCCTGTCTATTTTGAACCAGTTTTCAGTGTGAACATAGAAGGAACTGTCGATGACTAATTCATGATTTAGACCCAGTGTAGGATTTTCACAAAGACGTTTCTCATCTTAAGGTACTTTTATATAGTCACATAGCAGACCTTTGTTGATGAATCTGGATGACATTCTGTAATAGAAGAATATAATTATATTAATAAGAGTTTATCCGACTTTATCAGTTTATCAGTTGAACTCCATTGTTTAACCTGATCAGCGGTGGTGCCAACTCTAATATTCGAAGCTTGTGATTTTTTAATACCACAACGAAGGCACTTTCACGTAAACAGCGTGAGAACTAGTATTATGTATGTGAATAAAATGAATCATTTTGATCTGCAAAAAGATGTAAACATATTCTTTACTTTACAGCTAATATCATAATGCTAGCAAGTTAAAGGTTTTGTTTGCTTGCTTTGTTTGTATTAATGTTTGCTCAAGCATTGTAATAAAGTTTGATATCAGAAAGCAATATACAAAGGAGGAGTTACAGCCGATTGCATTGAGTGTGTAGGTAAGGGTAATATGTTTAGTTGGCTTGCTTGCGAGCTGAAACGTGAAGTCATTATTAGGTGAGGTATACTACCCTCCTTTCGAAGTAGTCTAGTCCTACAGACAGATAGATTGGTTCTCTGTCGGACTAGTCTACTCTTAAAGGAGGGTATTTTACCTAACCTAATAATGACTTCACGGTTCAGCTAACAAACAAGCTAACAAACATATTATACCTTTAACTACACACTCAATGCAATCGGCTGTAAACTTTAATACATTATACATGTATTTAAATTTGATTGGACATTATCAAATAATCAAATTTACCTATATACAGGTTTAACTCCGTCTATAATTATATTGTATGCAGATGTCAATCTTAATTACAATGCTTGAGCAAACTTTAATACAAACAAAGCAAGCAAGCCAACCAAACTTTTAACTTGCTAGCATTAGCTAGGATAACAGCTGTAACATAAAACTTATCATGGATCTTATTGGAAACAATGATTGGCTAAAACACTTACAATCAAGGTATATTAAATCAGTAGCTTTCTATGTCAAATAATCCTCAAATGTTTTTTTCAGGCTTTACTACGGTCGATTATAGTTTTTTACAATACGAGGAATTATTGCCCATCCACTTTTCTCGGACCCTGTTTCCGTCCTTGAATAGTGTCCATACATACAGATTAGCTGGTTATCTAATCAGAAGTGTCAATACATACAGGCTAGCCAATTATGTAACCAGAAGTGTCCGCACATACACATAACTGAATATCTTTTCAGAAGTGTCCACACATACACCTAGCTGACAATCTATCAGACGTGTCAATACATACACGCTAGAGGATAAGACAAAACAATCGGATTGAGAACTCTCTTGTGTTCTCTTATCTCAGCATAACTATGATTTTGTTTGTTAACAACCTGTTGACACAATTTGCAATGCATTTCTGTAATTCAATATCTACTTATTTTGTGTTAGTTATATCTCGTCTCACTATTTTTTAATATGCGACACCTTTGATAAGTATTTAGTATGACGATAGATTTTTGCTTCAGTACTCAAACTGCGAACAACAAATTTATTTATTTTGTAGAAAATTGTTTCCGTACTCTTAACAACAAAATTACTAACTTGAAATTTAACTGTGTACGTTATTTTATTAAACGCCATGTTGTCCCAGGTTAGAGTTGTCTTTTTGACATTATTCCTACATTTTTTTTTAATTATATTGTATTCATATTGTGGCATAGATCATACTTATTTGTTCAGTTTATGTTTACTTGTTTTTGATTATAAAAGTTTCTGATCGAGTTTATCCATTCAATTGATATTTTATAACGTGTCTTTCTATGTTGTAATGTTACTCTACTGTTTCAGGTAAGGTTGAATGTTGGCGCCTGTTAAAACGTTTAAACCCGCTGCATTTGTATGCGCCTGTCCTAAGTCAGGACCCTGTTAATCAGTGGTTTTCGTTTGTTGGTGTGGTTCATAAGAGTTTCTCGTTTCTCGTTTTTTTTATTTAGATTAGACCGTTGGTTTTCCTGTTTGAATTGTTTTACACTAGTTATTTTTGGGCCTATATATCTTGCTGTTCGTTGTGTATTTATAGATTATTTATATTAAGTTTAAACCTAAATACTTGATATTTGATTGTTATCGAACCCTTGCGGCAGATTGTTTTGAGGCACTCGTATGTGGCTTGTTGCAATATTCCGTCTTTACTAATATACTCGCTGCACATTCCAGTGACTTTCTTCTCCCTTTCCGAGTTACCACAATGTTTCGGTTACGTTTCTTCACCCTATCTGTGATATCTTCATTTTTCAGTTACGGTCCTTCACCCTATCCGACATACCCTCAGTTTACAGTTACAGTCGAAAGTTTGTTCCATTTTAATATCTACATGTAGATTGAACTATTTTTCAAAAGCATCTATTGCATTAGTCGTTAATTTGTTCTTGTCCTTAACATGCCTGGAATATTCGTCAACTGGACATAAGTAAACAACAATCAATCAATCTTTATTTCCAAACATATAATACTAGATTCTTATTCAATATTTTATAAAAGCCTCATCACTTGTATAATAAAAAAATTTGCACACTGCACGTATATAATATATCACACAAAGTATATGTTAAAACTAACCGTTTAAGGTATCATTATCTTCAATGCAAAACAAAAAAACGTATAAAAGTGCAAGTCTATTAAGAATTATAAGAGACTAGTAAAAGAATTATTATTCTCTAATTCTTATTCGATTTGTCCTTTTCCTGACCTGTTGATTATTTTCATTTAATCAACGTGTGGTTCGTTTGATCTCAGTTCTTCATTGGTCAAAATTCGATTATGACGTCAAATTTTCTTGCTTTCCTCTGAAATTCCCATCGTGACGAAGAGAACACATCTTTTTGCAGGTCGCTCTAAACGAAGGATTAAAATTATCTGAATATCGTTTAAAAATCATTAGAGAAACAGATTCCACTACCAAATCTCGTGCAAAAATCCACTCTCGACAGTTAAATTTTAAACATTTAAAACGCTCGACGAGCCTCGCGTTTTAAATTTGAAGATTTAACTGTCTCGAGTGGATAAATATCGTATCACACTCGATGCAATGAATCTATATATATACAATATTTCACATCTTATTTACACTACTATACAGAACAGATATATTTCAGATTTAAATTGCACCACCAGCTACATATACACAAGAACGTTGTTTTTCTATATTAAATACTGAAAAAGGTTTTAGCAACTACCTGACAAAGATCTTTATTCCTGTAAGGGATATTAGCCGATAAAAGTCCATACTGTAAAATATTAGACAAGTCTGAGGCTGCAGGCCGAAGACCTGTCTAATATTTTACAGAATGGACTGTCAGAGGCTTGTATCTTACTTAAAACATTATTGAACACGTCAAAAAAGGTGAAGAAAGCAAACAAATACAAACTTTAATAAAAACAAGTGTGCAAATTGTTTTGTGAATAAATTTTCTTTACATTAAAATTCGTCCTACGTGTTGGCCTCTTTAAACAGTAGCTCAACTTAAACAATAGACAAAAATAAAGTACAGCTGAAGGTAAACAACACAGCGTATGCGTATCATAATTTTTGCGTGCGCTAAGACTAATCATATTTTCCCCGTGGAAACCTTTACATGCGTTTGGTGTTTCAAAATGGATAAAATCGATGAAAGTGTATTCTTAGGTTCAGCAATACACTTTGACAAGAATTACTGTGTTTACACCATGAATTTTCTCTGAGTACATAAGACAAACAGCAGTACTCGGTGAAGGTTTTTTTTTAAATATTTTCCTAGTCTACGGAAATTGACCCGGGGTATTGTACACTTTGTTAGTGCAGATATCCGGAAATTACTATAATATTAAGACTATTCCCTTTTCAACGGCAAGCAATAATTTGTACAATAATTAAAAAGAGTCTAAACCAGATTCACATATTCAAATCATATTATCAGAAAATCATTTCGGAATGTATAGTTTTTTTTTTATTCCAAAGGCACCTCTCAATTAAGGAAGAGAGAACATTCTAAATCTTTCGGTAGATTTCTCTTGTTTTTTAGATCTGGTTTATGACATATTCCATCAATGTCTGTCCAATATAAACCTTTTTTTGCACTGTGCATATAGCAGGAACTGTCGATAATTAATCCGCATTTTAGACCCAAAGGATGATTTTCACAAAGATATTTTTCTGTTTTGACTTTTATTGTCACGTAGCAGACTTCTTTTGATGAATCTGGATAGAATTGCATAGAAGAATATCTATTCACAGTAGTGTATCCGACTTTATCCGCTAAGCTCCATTTTTTTTCTTCATCTGCATGTATCTCAATTCCACCAAATGAGCCAGCGGTGGCACCAACTCCAATATTCGAAGTTTGTCGGTATGCTGTATCACAAAGTACTTTCACGTAAACATTGTGGGAACTAGCATTAGATATGTGAATAGAATTAGCCATTTTATTCTGCAAAAAAAAAAGTGTTAACATATTCTTATATAAACTTTAAACTGATCATTGAATTTGATTGTCAAGCATAAGCACCGACAAAAAGAATAAACATATAGATTGCACATTGTAAATACAACTGTTCCACAAACCACGCCTCTTTTGGGGAGATATTTAATATGTATAGATGTTTTGTTTCGCTTACCTGCTGGTTATCAGATATAATCTTTATGTTTCATCTCGTCGAGACACAACTTGTGATTGTTACCAGTACAAATACACATGGATAGCGGCGAAATTGAATTCTGGGGAACACCAAAAGTGAAGGGAGGGGTAGCATTACCTGTAACCGAGTACGGCAGAAAGTGATTTTCCCCCGATTATAGTACTGATTTTCATTGATTTTGTACTGATTTTTCATGATAAATTTTACACTATAGCTCTGTTATTTAATTTAAGTAGATTGAACTAATCAATTGGTTAAAGATGATTTATTCTGTCTGGTCAGTAGTCATTAGTTAGTGATATCCTGAGGTGTGATTGCCTTGAAGTTACATCATGACCTCTCTTATTCTTTGTTTTGATGCTGTTGCAGCTGATTTGAGTCAAATAAATTCTGTTTTAGTCTGCTTTAAGAAAACTGGGAGTATGAATTAGATTTTTTTTCATGAAATTATTTTCAAATATAATAATCTGAAAAATGCAAGTATAAATTTGGACAAAATAAGCAATTAAATGGAAAAAAAAACTAGCAACTAAACTTGAGCTTTTGTGTACAGATTGTCCCCGATCAGCTTGTGTTGATTACAGATTTTCCCTGATACCTATACAGATTGTCCCCGATTTTAAAAAGCTAATCCTTCAAAAATAAAGCTAATATGTGGATCTTTTTTACACTTAGGCATGTGCTAATAATAAATAGTGGAATATAAGGAAAAAATAAATTTTCATGCAAACCTGTAATTCTATGATTTTATATATAAAACTGAATTAGAGATTTTTTGTTCATGGATATTTCATTGGTTGTTTCAGAAACTTTAAACAGGCTTCTTCTTGCTTGGTGTTCATTACTTACTGTTTGTATATTTCTGGATTCATAGTTTAGTGAATTTGATAAATTGTCTGAAATGGTCAGATATTGTAATGATTTTTTTTTTATGATCTTTTGTGGTGAATTTGTTGATTAGTTACAAATTAAAATATTTTCATCGTGTATTTTAAAGTTTTTCCTTCTCTGTCAAGAAGTTCTGGAATGAATGTATGGTATGGTCTGCTTTTATAATCTCTTTCGCTACCTCTGATGGTGATCTACTATTTTTTCAAAGATGACATTTTTAGAAAGCAATTAAAGCATTTGTATGTTGACATTTTCTTGCAAGTAACAGTTAAAAATAAAACTTAGAATGAACCCTTTTCCTTATGATATTATAAGAGAAAATCGGGGAAAATCTGTAATTAACTTCATCTTCTCTGGGACAATCTGTACACTGATCGTGGACAATCAGTACACTGCATCAGAAATTGAAATCATATTTTTATTAGTATTTTCCTAATCTTCTTAAAAAAGTACTTCCAGATCTAAGTCTACTTAATTTGCACATTTGAATAAGTATTCTATAATTAGAGTAACACTTTTAGATATTTAAATAATATAAGAAAATCACTTCCAATGACTTCCTTGCTTCAGAAAAGTTTCTATTTTTAGGATGGGTCATCAAAATCCATATTGCCCATGGGAGGCCAATGATAAGAATGTAGAAATGAAAAGGAAGGTTACATAATTATTGACACAGATTTTCTTTAATTCATATATAATTACCCTTTTGATGATCTCTACATAGGAAAATCGGGGAAAATCAGTAATCAATAGGAGAAAATCAGTGCTGTAATCAGGGGAAAATCACTTTCTGCCGTACTCGGTTACAGGCAGTGGGTAGTACAAAATTTAAGTAATTATATGTTTGAACTCTTATTAGTTCGAGGTAAATGTTGACAATATGCCGTACAGTCCTATGTTTTGACCGTCGAAAAAAATAGAAGTCCATATAAACTTTCCATTCTAGGATATAGTTTTTTACGAAACTTCATAGTAAAACTAAAAGTGGCACTGTTTTAGCCGTAAAAGGAGTTCCTTTGTGGACTGGTATTGTCTGCATAATTACAGAGATATCTCAAATCTGTATCATTTTCTGACATAAAATATTTTAATAATTTAAATATAATCCATCAGAAATTGAAATTATTATATGTACGAGGTGTACGCATATCACATACACATTTCGGTTTTGTTTTCTTCATTATTTTTGGAAGGATCGTATTAAAGCTTACAGATAATGTATGTGGTTGTTAATTAAATACTTGGATAAGTCCCCGAGTTAAGTACCATCAGCTCAGTTGTCAATACTTCGGTACTGGCAATATTTATAACAAACCTTTCTAAAATTGTTTACCTCCAAGGGGGATTGGTGAATAGAAAATTTGTCACTTAATTGGTCCAATTCCGTAAAACCATTGCCAAAATAGGCCACCTGTTTGACTACACGGGACGTTCAAATACGCAGCCACGTCTGGTCAGAATGGTGTGCGTAGAGAGTGCCATGCTCATTGCACGTTCAGAATCATTGCAACAGCTCTTTGAGGGGTCCATAGGTGGCCTGTTGCAAGGAAATTTTATGTTCAATATGTCTTAGCTTTCAGTAGCAGCCTTCATTTTTTACCTTCATCCCGAACGTCCTCTAGATCTGTTACAGGACATACATATTGGATTTATTGTTAATTGGTTTTCGTCCAGAACATGCATGAAATATTTGCCACTGGACGTAAAGTAACCTACAATCAATCATCTAAAATTGTCCGTTTATTAATCTAGAAATTAAAAAAAAAGTTTCAACCTCGGGGGAGGGGGGGGGGGGGGGTCACTTCAAACTTTTTTTGAAAGGGGTGAGCAGCTGAAACATCAAGTACCCCACCTTTTCATATATTTTGTTTATCAAAAATATATACCTTGTCATATATCAATTAACAAAAAACAAACCTATAGATATGTTTGGATATTTTTCATCTTCTGGTACATTAGTATATATAATTTTTTTGGCGTCCCGTTCATCATCGCGTTCTTGTTAAAAATCATCACACCTTGCTTTCTCAATAAATTCGTCACATCTTAAAACACTTTCCTCTATTTGCCCCTTTTGTATCTTTCATTATGAAGAAATTTCAATTTCAAAAGACGATAAAAGATGTTAGGTCAGATAAGTGTAGTAACACCCCAGAGAGTAACACTTTCAATGAGTTTAATATTAATGAAAAACTGATAAAAAGTTACATTGCCTTTCCCTCTCAAAGTACATTGACACTATGAAATTTCTTTAAATAATTGTTATCATGTTTCATGTATACAAATCTTTGAATGTTAATTAGGTGCAAATGGCAAAATGATGAGATTTATAGCATCTATAAGTTACTAGCATCAGTGGAAATACCACATTGGAATAAATAGAGTTTAATTGGTTTGACAAATAGCTGATGCATTTACGACTGTGGTTTAACCGCATCACAAATAAATACGGACATCTGATTAGTTTCAGATACTTATGATATAATCAAGCAAGAGAAAATATCAACCTATTGATATATTTAATCTGAGGTTTCAACCCTATCAGGCAAAGTTGAGCTTCAAATATATGTCCCTGGCTTTGAGCGTTCTGGATGAAAGTTAATCCAGAAAAGCTCTTCAGACGCATAAAGTTTCTAGCTAGTAGTTCTTCTGAGGTAAATCATTTGAAATTTCAACAATGCATGAAATGTATAAATTCTAATTTATCTCCAATGTAGAAATCAGTTGAAAATAATATGTTTAGAGTGATTTCCCTTCTTTTGGTTCAGTTTACAAAATTTATTTTAAAATTGTTTCGAACATCAATATTGATAATAAAAACTAATTATAAACATTATTTGTAATAATCTTAGAATTTTTTCATCTTCATTATCAATTATATGAAAATGATAAAGAAAAATTGTAAGCGTCCTGTAAAATTGATAGTTTATATAGTGTTTAGACAAAAAGTATAATTACAGTTGTGTTTTGCACTGTACCAGTTGACGGACAATAAAATACCATAATATATAGCAATGCTAAGGACATAATACGCCTATATATTAATATGTGAAGGCTGTAAAATAGCTAACTATAATCACTGACTAAACTCTCAATAAATCTTTATACTATAAGTTATAAACATTTCAGTATGCTTAGATCAACTTTAGTTTTCAAATTTTTGTGAATTTCATCACATGTTATAACCCACACAGTTCAGCCCTCATATGCAGTAACTTTAATAGCATTTTGTATCAGTCTTATGCCTAGGTCACACATTCACGGATCACCTAAACGGTTCCACTACGGATTAAATCTCACGGATGATCCCGGAAATGCAGTTTCGGTAGTCCGTTACGGATGCACAACGGTATGAGTACGGGCTTTGACCACGGATAATATAGGAAAATTTTGTGCATGTTCGAAAATTGTCAAGGATATACAAGTACTTTTACGTATGACTACGGCTACAATACGGAAATCTACGGACTAATACAGATTGCCACGAATGATGCCGGATCGTATCCGTAGCTAATCCGGCGTGAAATCCGTGAATGTGTGACCTAGGCGTTACAATAGGTAAGAAACATGTAACTTTTTAGCTGAAACAATTTTGAAAACTTGGTACACATAAATGTCTTGTTCTTTGAATATTTTCATTTTCTAAGCCCCTAAAATGTTGAGCTTTGTTGCATTACAATATCTTATGTCTTTTGTCTTATGTGTTAATATTCAATATCCATTCATCTGTTTTATACATGCTTTATATATGATACCTATGTGGCTAACTCTATTGAATATAGGTTTAAGTAAAGGTGTAAAAAATGAATTGGATGCACTGCATACTTCTGAAGAGATTTATGTTCTTGATGGCTGTACTTTCTGAAGGTTTACTGTGTTAACAGATTAGAGAATAATGGGT